AGATCCTAGCTATTATTATGTTAATTATTTGTATATTATGATAACTATTTTGCTTCATTGCAAGGCACAGAGTAGGAAGTATTCTTCATTTATTTCTTTATTTGCTCACTGGTTCATTTGTAAAACATTGCTCATGTTTTAAACAGTCTAAAGACACTACAGTAAAAAATATTTTTCTTCACATAGAAAGTAACAGCTGCTACCAGTTATCATCATATCCTTGTCAGTGACAGATATTTATGATCGAGCATCACAAATGAACTCAAACAAGTCGGCTGGACACGCAATACAGGAACACATTACCCTTGACTAAACATGAGCCACTGTTTGGCTAATAAAAGTTTGGTAAAACCAGGTTTACAAACAAACAGAATCATTTAAATTGAATAATTTACATATTCAAACTTTGCATGTAATAAAAAGAAATAAACACATCACTACATTACCTCACATCACATCATGGACTAAATAGACACTCAGACCCCTTGTTATGACAGATTACACTGATCTTGCATAGAGATGGCTAAAAAAAAATATTTTAATTAAAGATCAAGTGTGTGATTTTTGCACCTCTGGCGCCACCAAGTGGAATTGCAAAAAAAAAAAAAATTTGTTTTATAAAATGAAATAAAATAAAACATGTTTTATTGTGGCACAATAACAAAAATGTTCTTGTGTAGGATAGCCCTCATACATCAGCCCATTACAGGAAGCCCAGTTTTTGAAGGCTGCTTAGAAAACTAGGAGCCCTTACCCTCCGCTGCAAAAAATTTTTTTCTCAATCAGTATTTTTGTCTTGACCACACCTTTAAATAGCATAAGATGTTAAAACTTCAAAGAATAATTATTTTGTTTATTTAATGTTTATTTTTATTTCAATGTTGTTTTTGTTCTATTTTATTTTTGTTCATTGTTTTTGAAAACCGGCAGATTGTTTTCTGTTGTTTTAGCCCTTCACTGCAATTTTTTAATGACATTGTTTTGTTTTCCCTAAAAACATTTAAACACCTTTTGAAAAAGTGTAAGATGTTAAAACTTATGTTCAGAGAATAGTTATTTTGTTTATCTAATTTATGTTACTTAATGTTATATTTGTATTGCATTGTTTATTTATTTTATTTCATTGCTCATGGTTGTCCATTGTTTTTGAAAATGGCAGTTTTTTTTTCTTGATTTAGCACAAATCTAACTTTTAGTTTAGTGAAGTCTACTAAAATAACAGGAAAAAATTAACCATAACAAAAAACTAATTCAAGATTTAAAAAAAAAAAAAGCCTTATCTTGCACAACTTTGCTTCTCAAGTGCATTTATCTTATTTTAAGTATGCTTAGATTTAAAAGCAAGACAAAATACAGATTAATCATTTTTATCAGTGTAGGAAGAACAAATTTGTGTCGGTTTCTATAAAACATTATTGATTTCAATTTTGATTCACTGTTTTGTACACAGAAGAAACATTAGGGGTGATTTCGGTGGACGTCACTGATCAGACATCAGTGCTTATGGCACGCGTGTTGGAGTTGAGGTCTGGACGGCTTCGAGAGCTCAGCGATGCGCTGTGCAAAGAGGGAAGGGTGAGAGACAGGCACGGGCTGTCATAGTGGGATGGCATGTAAGTGATCCGTTCGGCTCCGTTCCGCATTTCGTCCATGGTGCTGATGTAAAATGGAGAGCTGTATGGGGAGCAGGTGGGGCAGAGGCTCTGCGGTGGCGTGGGCTCCGGCGACAGGGAGAGTGGGTTAGAGGCGACCCCGTCCAACCTAGATGTGCTGCATGTGTTGCAGGCAAACTGGGGTTGTGAGCAAACAGCATCTGGATCGGATCCATTCTTCTTACAGCAATAATACTAGAAGAAAAACAAGGCCAGTCAGTCAGCAAGAGAGATAGGAATGCCATAGGACATCATTGGAGAAATGAATGAATGAATGAATAATTATTATTATTGTTGTTTTTTTATTTACAGGAGCACTAACTTTTTCATCCAAGGTCACCAAAACCAAAAGAAAAATATAATTAATTTTAAATATATCATAATAAATAAAATCAAATTATATAATAAACTTTCTATAAATAAAACAACTCACTGACTTCATTTAAATCTTTCAAAAGAAACAATATAAAATTCTTCTTCCTACTGCTCCACAATTGTTACTGTTAAAATAAAAATATATCATAAAAATAAATAAATAAATATAATAATAATATAATAATAATAATAAAAATAAATCTAAATCTACATCATACTGTTGCACTATTGTTATCATTATAAATAAAAATAAAAGTAATAAAGTTTATAAATAAAAATAATTAAAATCTATCAAAAAATAATAATATAAAATATAATTACATTTTAAAAAACTGCATCCAACTGTTTGACTAGTGTTATCATTACAAATAAAAATAAAATAAAGTTTATAAATAAACTAAATCCTTCAAATCTAGATTTAAAATATATATATATATAATATTTAATTAAATTAAAAAAACCTACACCGTACTGTTTCACTACTGCTATCATTATAAATAAGTAATAAAACTTAAAAAATAAAAATAAAACTCGATTCACTTTTTTAAAATAAAAGAATTCATGAAAAATCTACCAAATCTATCAAAAAAAAGATTGATTGGTTTTTCAAATATATCAATAATAACAATAATATAATATTAAATTAAAAATATGTATACCCTACTGTTTCACTATTGTCATCATTCTAAATAAAATAAACTGTATAAATATATATATATATATATATATTTTTTTTAAATCTATCAAATCTGTTGTTGTCGGGGGCTTTTTTAGTTTAGTTTTGCTTTGTTTATTCACAAAATTCAATGCATAGAGGAAAATATCTGTCATTATTTTTTTGCCTTAAGTTATGAGGCACGCGCTCACCTGAAGTCGACAGTAACAGAGCACGACAATGATACACAGAAGTATCACCGTCGCGAGAATTCCTCCGGTTATAACCACAGTTCCAGCTGTCATCCGACCGGATCTCCATGAAACTCTAAATGTGAACACACACACACACACACACAGACTGACTGTCAGACCACTTGTACAGGTGAGCATGCCAAACGACCACTTTGAGCTCCATTACTTCGGGTGCAATGTCACAATGTCCGCAAGACAGCGCTGCAAAACCACACACACAAAAAAATCATGCCTAAATCCAACATATGAAGTGACACGTTAGTTCAGACAGACGCGTCGTAAGTGTTCAGTCAGTTTGATTCAGCACGTGCTGACAGAGGAAGTGTCGGGTCAAGCAGCCCAGCGTGACTGAGTTTGACCAGCACTGCAGATCTGATTAAGGAGCCGCACTGATGAAATGCAATCATCAAACAGAGAGACACACCTGCTCTCTCTCTCGCTCGCTCTCTGTGTGTGTGGGAAATTACATCTGGACTTTTATTAGGAAAAAGTTTGCTAGTTAATTACAGGAGTCTTTCCAGCTTAATCTTTCCATTAAAGGTCACATAATGATCAAATTCAGCCAAATTTATCAAAACAAAACAAAAAATTAAATTAAATTATAATATAAAATGTATTTTTACAATTTAAACTATTTCTTATAAATATAAAACTTTTCCATCCCCATGAAACTCTAAATGTGAACACACACACACACACACACACACACAGACTGACTGTCAGACCACTTGTACAGGTGAGCATGCCAAACGACCACTTTGAGCTCCATTACTTCGGGTGCAATGTCACAATGTCCGCAAGACAGCGCTGCAAAACCACACACACAAAAAAATCATGCCTAAATCCAACATATGAAGTGACACGTTAGTTCAGACAGACGCGTCGTAAGTGTTCAGTCAGTTTGATTCAGCACGTGCTGACAGAGGAAGTGTCGGGTCAAGCAGCCCAGCGTGACTGAGTTTGACCAGCACTGCAGATCTGATTAAGGAGCCGCACTGATGAAATGCAATCATCAAACAGAGAGACACACCTGCTCTCTCTCTCGCTCGCTCTCTGTGTGTGTGGGAAATTACATCTGGACTTTTATTAGGAAAAAGTTTGCTAGTTAATTACAGGAGTCTTTCCAGCTTAATCTTTCCATTAAAGGTCACATAATGATCAAATTCAGCCAAATTTATCAAAACAAAACAAAAAATTAAATTAAATTATAATATAAAATGTATTTTTACAATTTAAACTATTTCTTATAAATATAAAACTTTTCACTGTTGTTGTAAAACATCACATTTATCAAGAAACATAATCAAAATTAAATAACATCAAATAAAAACCTATGTTGTTATACTAACAATACAAAATACATACTAAAAGTCCTTTCTAAAAGCAATTCTCTCAATATAAATAAACAAATAAAATCTCCATCTACAAAATATAAATAAAAAGCATACCCCATACTCTTACTATTGTCATGAATGGTATATTAAAAAAAACGCATTCAACATACTGTATATGCAAAAATCTTGCCATTTCTCTCTAATTATTTGTGAAACTTAATAGCGATTTCTGAGTGAAAATTTTGCTCTCTTGTAGTTTTCTTGCCAATTTTGGAACTTTGAGCTGTATTGCTATTGCTGTTGCCTCCTTTCTATGAATTGCTTTTAATATCCTTCATTTATAAACCACTTTGGATAAAAGCATCTGCTAAATGAATAAATGTAAAAGAAGATCTTTCCAGTAAAAAAGTATTTCATCAGCCTAATGCAAAAAGCACAAGCTAAGTTGATGCTGGGGGTGAGAAATAAATCCAGCACGGAACATGCCTAGAAGACCAACATGTGGTGCATCTTTTAGCAATTCCACTCACACACACCGCATGAACCAACCGGAGCAGACGGGATACAGGATACGAGATACAGCCCAGATTACACAACAGCCATACTGATGGGATTAGTGCAGCGCTGATAGGACATGCAGGCCGGATGCTGACACATGCATCTGTATTCAGACCCACCTGAAAAGATACTTAACTATTAATGAGCACTTTATGAATTATTATACGCTGTCTTCTGTGCATTTTTACAGGAATCTATAAAGTGCTTAAAATGAAATATAGCTTGACAGTTTAGTAGTGCAATTCATCTGGAAAAGTCACGGAGGAATGTTAAAAAACGTTGGCAGAAAAGCTGCAGTTCGTGTCATTTTACATATTAGTAATCTGAAATATGAAAGATAATATAAAATTTATTTTATAAGGATGAGTATATATTTTTAATATCAAGTGAAAAGTGCCTGCATATGAACTCTCTCCAGAATTACGCTTAGAGATGCAAGTATCTGGTGCTGTGTCCCAGAATGCAATGGGCACAACTCAATGCAATAATATACACTGCAATATTATTTCATGGAAGAATAAAAGTGGTTTTACTAAAACTTGAGATGACTATTTTCTAGATAAAATACTATAATTATAAATGAAATAATTATGTTAAAATATATACATTTTAAATTAATAAAAAAAAATTTAAATTAAAATATCAAAATACAATTATTTTAAATACGCTGATTAGGATAAAGTGAATAAATGTAAACGTAAACCAAAACAATTTATATTTAAATATATATATACAGTATATATATTTAAAATCAATTATCTCAAAATAAAGCAAAATCCAAAATAACATCTACAATACATAAAAATGACAAATTAAATAAAATTTTAAAACATCCTGCAATGTTATTTAATGGGAAAATAAATGTTTTTACTAAAATAGCTTTAAAAAATATCTAAAATTAATATTAATATATATATAAAAAATTAAATAATGGGATCTTAATCCTTTTTAAGTGATATCAATATTGCACTTTTTACAAAGAAATTAATGACTTATAAATAGTCTGTGCAAGTGTATATAGTAGGCTATATACGGTATTTATGCATAAATATACAATAATCTCCTGTCTAAATCTCATTCAGTGCTGCCAAAATGTTAACACAAAGATTCAGTTCTGTTCATCATTATTAACCTTCATGTTGTTTCAAACCTGTTTGACTTTCCCTCTTCTGTGGAGGACAAAAGGAGATATTTTGAAGAATGTTCATGCTGCTCTTTTCCATATAATAAAAGTACATTTATGACCAAGTTGTCAAAATTCAAAAAGAACAACAAGAACAACAACAACTAGGCTCGCTGCGATAGACGGTGTTTTCGGGTATACCGGTGTTAAGCCGCAACACTGATTACGTCATTTGGCTACCGCAGCACCGCCCCCCGTTTAGATTTTTTTATAGTAACAAAAATAATTTAGCCTAGTTCA